CCCCCCCCCCCGAGAATTTGTCATGCAGAGTTAAGCCTAACATGCGTGAAAGCGTTGGCGATGACTCTTAGTTGTGATGTTGCACGCAGGCATTTGCTCGTTTGTTTATGTATGACTACGCTTTGACTGAACTGTGGCCAGAATTGATTCAACACTAGAGTTTGAAATGGGATTTGTGGCGGTGGGTTTACAGATGATTCTTGACTATAATCGGGGGTGAGTGTTCTTCTCTGCGCTTTTACTTTCATGCTTCACCCTCGTAACCACTGGCTTTCATATTACGATCGATTAAAATTGGCAAGAAAGCCGCCATGATTCACCACCAAAGCAGTGGAATTTTATTATCAACGGTAAAGAACTGTGAAACAGGCACCCTTTCAATTGTTTATCTCAACCCCTCCTCCCAATATTGTCGTAATATTTCAGACAGACTAGTAAATAAAATTTCTAATTTTTTATTTATTTACTATTCACCTGCCAGCACAAATTTTCGGATCGTGCCATTTTGATGCAGACTATTCGAATGCGGTCTTGAAGCTGCTGAAGTAATGATACAAAATTATACGGCCACCTCGATTACGAAACAAATAGATATGGCCAAATGAATCATAAATCCATTATTTCTACTGATCTAATTGAATGATTGACGCGGGTATAGTTGACAAGATGGAATTACTTCTTATCAAGGAGATCAGGGTGATTGCTCACGAGATGTCCGTTTTACTTTGGTGCGCATGCTCGTTTGCCCCGGTGATCTTAAAACATTTTGTCGGTTCTTTCCGCTCGAACAATTACATTCAACTACCTTAGACATTTTTTTCTATAAAGTGACTCAAAATCCAAATAATTTAGAGTTAAATTTCATCACTTCAAGTCGAGTTGTATTCGATTTAAGAAGCCGATTTTCCTCAAAGATACCATTTTCAGGCACGTGTGTGTTCTTTTTCTTGGAATTTTGCAGACATGACGCTGACTTAATTCGACAAAAAAATGCAGTGGTTTCTGGCGACCCCTACACTCAGTACAAGATTTCTCAATCTGGCATGCCTCCACCGTCGAACAACTCCGTCAAGTCACCTGTAAAACCGCCCGGACCGCATCAAGTTTTCGATGTTTCTCTCGAGTTGTATGTCGCAAATTCCTTCTAGACCTATTATCTCTCCTGGAATGTCTTATTCTTTCGCGTTTTTTTTGCCAGTGTCATGGAACATAATAACAATGACCCCATTCCTCGTCTTTTGCGGGAGTGCGTCGAGTACATTCGTAAATACTGTAAGTTTACAACTACTGATTATGATTCAATAGGATTGATTTTTCAAACCGACGATACTCTATCTTTAGGCTTGGACGTTGACGGCATTTTCCGACGTAGTTCGAATGCATCATTAGTGAAATCCGTCAAAGCGCAGTATAATTCAGGAGGGTCAGTAAACTTCCAGGTTTGTGGTGACCCTCATTTACCTGCGGTATTGATCAAAACATTCCTTCGAGATCTCACCGAGCCAATTCTAACGTATGAATTTTACAGTACGATTCAGGGCCTTCATAGTGAGTCCGATGCTGAGATACAACTATTCTTTCTTTATTGAGCAGTATTAGTAAATGTTTGATTGTAGGTCTACCCTGGGAGACAAGGTTAGGGGAAGCTCGTGAGTTAATTTCAGTTCGTTTACCGGATCCCAACTACACTGTGCTGAAGTACGTAATGACCCTTCTTATTGAGGTAGGCCTATGTCCTTGATTTACATTCAAAAAAATCTAGAAGATTAATTAACCGTTTGGGGATATCGATTTTAGGTTTCCGCGCACTCATCGCAAAATAGGATGACGGATGTCAACTTGGGAATCGTATTTGGTCCAAACTTGCTGTGGTCTCGTTACGCAACAATTACCTCCTTTGCCGAGGTTGCACAGATCACCGCATTTGCCCAACTCCTCATCTCCAACTTTGACGACATTTTTGTCAAGTGAACACCATTCCCTTTTCACCCCCCCCCTCCCCTCCTCTCCCATGTCCCCCATTGTCTTTCGTCATTTCAGAGCGCTGTCCGTCTTACCTCCTGTATAGTAAACGGCAAAAGTACTGAGCTATGACTCTTATTGTTTTATTCCATTCTCGTCTCTCTCTCTCTCTCTCTCTCTTTACAAAATTTATTTATTTATTTCAAATGGCAGGCGTTTTGATGGCTATCATTAGCTTCACAGAGGGGAAGGAACATCAAAGTGAAAAATGTCGAGAGGGGTGGGGGACATAAGAGTGTTTCAAAGACGAAGGTAGAACAGGTAGAAAAAAAGGTGAGATGAGTACTGAGGAAGTAGTCGAATATGAAATACAGTGGGATCATGGCAGTTGGAAGTCAGAAGTCAACTGCCAGTTAATAGACTTCTTTGCCATATGGTTATACGTTGCCCAGGGTGCTCCACGTGGAGGTAAGTCTATCGCATACCCCATTTATAAAATATAATTTTGTCTTAACACTTGTTTATGCTGATGCCTCACCTTCAGTATGATAATGGAACCTAAATTGAACTTAAATCTCTGTTCATTAATAGCATCAAACTGCATAAAACTAACTGCTATGTTTAATTTGTTTATCCCACTAGCCTGACACCTGCCAACTGTCTACTATTCTACTAGAAATAAGCGACCTTCTACTACGCTGCTTATTAATACGCAATTCATATTTTATCTTGGCAAATGGAGTTTTACCTGATGGCATGGAATCAGGAGTGAGTAAAATAAACAGGGCAACCCGCACATTACCATCGCGATGTTAGGTCTTTCCCTGATGAGGTCCTGTCGAACAAGTGGATTGGACGATTAGGTTTTGTTGAAATCCCCTCCCGCCCCCACCGTTCACAAGACCTCACACCATCAGTTAACAGATGGCTTACCTTGGCCACCAAAAGATTATTAAAAGCCTACGTAATGGATATTTTTCTTAGAAAATATATATATATATATATGTATGTGTGTGTGCGTGTGATATGATTTGGAAATTTTTGAGTTGTAAACGGATTCATAGAAAAGTGGTGCAAATGACAAGGCAGGTGGCTTTAAAAGCATATTCTACTTCAATTCTCACATCTGAAAGCATTTTAAATCGAGACTGCGTAGTAAAGATTACACCACATAAGCAGGATTGAGTCCTTTGAATATACAAAAAAGGAAATAGAAATTTGCAGAAAATCAACTTATTGAATTTAGGACGAACTGAGTGAATATTGAGTTCATTAAAGGGGTTAAATAAACCAAACCCCTTAATTTCCAAAATGATAATGATGGAATTTACCAGAATACAAAATTTGGCAGAACAATCATAGAATAAATAAAAACTACTCATTTGCAATAAAGACAGAATTATTTAACGCAACCATGTGATAAGCCATAGAATTTGAAGGCGAACACTACTGAGTTTGTTATTTTAGACTAAATTTAGACAGGAAATGCTAAGACTCCGACAAAAAATAGCTCAGAGCTGTCACAAGATCGTCACCAAGGCAACCATTATTTCATTCAATACGCAGATTTAAAGTTAGAGGGGCAAAATGGTTTTCAGTCTATGGTGCCATTTGGCCTCCAAAAATAAAAGGTAATATGGCGACAGCCAGCATTCACTTACGAAGCCTTTGTTTATTAAATAATGTATTTGGGTAACTGTACTTTGTCTCAGCTATCGCGGTCTCGGGTCTGAGTCGATTGAGCCCTAGCTACATCCAGTGGGTCCTCAGGTCATGGCAACACAAGAAGGGATCCCAATGTCCTGAATTTCGTGGTAGGGACATATATTAAAAAAAACGCAAATAAAGATAATGAATTAACTTTTTCCATCCAATTATGCGGAATTTGGTAAATATCGAGGTCGAATTCCACATCTCCATCATTATTAATATATATTTTTATACAGGTGTTTTAGGGGGTCGTACTAGCCAAGGAGCCAATCAAAAGAGACCGTTTAGCAAATAGTGAGCAGAGAACATTTAATTTAGTTTCCTTTCCTCTATGAGTCATCCATATGCGGCTATGTTAACAAGCCTAGTGCATTACTATAAGCAGGGGGGGGGGGGAAAGTATTTTTAAGATTTAAGTGAAAATCCTTACTCCC